GGATTAAGCAGTGTATAGATGATGGATGGATGGAGGAGGATGCAGCAGGCAGCTATATAGCTAAATAGCTAAAGTCACTGTGGAAAGCCTGACCAGCACTACTATGGACATGCTTTGATGTGTCGGTGACAGCACCCATCCATCCAAGCTGGAGAACCCGGAGAGAACCCACACTGCACAGGGAGAACATGCAAACTCCACGCAGAAAGATCCCAGTGCCCCCACAGGGACGCGAACCGGCGACCGTCTTGCTGCGAGGCAACGGTGCTAACCACCGCTCCACCTTGCAGCCCCTGACAGCAACCAAACCAAACACAAGAATTTTAAATTCTCCAGAAATCCTGTGCTATGTCTGTCTCCTGTGCTCGACGCACCTCAGGAATGATCAGATTAGTGCAGTGCTACAACCTTATCTGTAATTAGTTTGCTGTGTCCTGTAATGAGTGCAAAGTCCCAGCCAAGCTTTCAGAATGATCCTTAGGAATGTGTGTGTTTTTGTGTTTGACCTGACGAGCAGACCAACGTATACAGTCGTGACCAAAAGTTTACATACACTTGTTAATATTAGTATGTTATGTTAGTATAAATGTTAGTATTCTTATTTTTATTCTTATTTGCACTGCTGCTATTGTCGTGTTCTTCCACACAAGTTTCGTTGTACTTCTGCACAATGACAATAAAGTCTCTTTATCTTATCTTTATCTTATCTAAAGAGCATTTATATCATGTCAGTCTTGAGTTTCCAGTGACTCCTGCAACTTTGCATTTTCTGTGGTCGAATGATGGAAACACAAACATCTTTGTCACAAAAAGCAATGATGCCTTTTGGTTCTTTCATAGAGNAGTTTCATCGCTGTAACATCATGTTTATTGTAGGACAAGAGTGGTATCAAGATCCAATAAAAACAAATGTTGTCATACATTATTGTCTTTTACGTAACAAAGGCTATCTAAGTAATCTTAAACAAAACAATCAAAACGAGATTGCAAATCTTCCTATACCTGCCAAGCTGTGTTGTAGATTACTTTTTTTTATACTGACTTTGCACATTCTTGAAAATGAAGTGCCAGATAACGAACACTCTCACTGCCAGTTTCACTCGAGCAAACACGACCTGGGTCAAGTACTCTTTAAATGTTTTAAATGTTCGACTTTGTTCTTGGAAGGTTAAAATTAACTACTACTGACGCCTTAAACAGACTTTAAAAGGTTAGTGTTCTATTTGTCTGGGTCAGTTGAATATTATAAAGCAGCTGTGGGATTGTTGTCCATTATGCATGGACTGTATGACTTGGAATCTGAGTTAACATGGAATAGATGTGTTTTTACTCTTTCTAATGCATATATTTACGTCTCAGGTCTTGATCTACTGAAGACAATGGATCCCCCAAGAGTTATCAAGACACATCTTCCCTTTCAGCTGGTGCCTCCTGGGTTTTGGGAAAACAAATGCAAGGTAAACCTCGATGTCTGACGGATTAAAGTAAGAGTAAAGATCCTGCAATCTCTGTTATTGGTTCACACCAGACAGTAAACGCACAGCGATATGGTTCAAGGTTCATGATACAAGGCCTGTAATGAGGGTTAGATGTTTTTCACTAACTGCTTCATCCAGTGACCTTTTCTCTGTATTGTTGTTTTTATTCCCTTTTTATGTCCCTTCTTATCACATGTGAAGACGATCTATGTGGCACGCAATGCCAAAGATAACCTGGTGAGCTACTACCACTTTGATCTTATGAATAAGACCCAGCCTGAACCAGGACCCTTTGATGGCTACATCACCAAGTTCATGCGAGGAGAGTGTAAGTAGATTACATTACATTCCTCTGTTTCTTTTTTAACACTTCTACCTCAGTCACAGAACTATGTTTAAATACTAATCCAGCATCTTTATGCAGCTGGAGGCTTTTGTGAACTTAAAGAAAAATAAAATTAAAATGGTGGATGGTAACTTGTGCAATCTTATACATCTCATGTGTTATCTCACATTTATTAAAGCATTCTTCCCCATGAGAACCTCATCATGCCTGAGTGGCTGTGATGAGATTAGCACTGAAGGCCAGTCAGATGAAAACGCTTGTCCACACAAAAACTGAAGTTTCACTATTTCTTCATTGCTGTCCAGACCAGCTGCTCCTTTAATGCATCAGGAGCATTTTTTCTGTTTTTGTATCGCTGACAACTTCGCTGGTGCACATGACTAAAATGACTTTATTAATATCTACCACACTCGCTTTCTATTGATGCACTATTATTAAGGGCTTATACATTAAATGGCTTAATTAAAGGTTAATAATTAACTTGCTGATACTTTATAGATCAGGTAAGAGCTCAATAGGAAAAACTCAAAACACTCTTCAACCCTTGTCCTCCTCCAGGTTGTTTTTGTTCCCTCAGTTCGTTGTTTTGTCTTCTTGCCCACAACTTTCCTATTTAAGTTTTTTCATAATTATTTTTGATTGCAGCAGGCAGGGGCTGCAAGGTGGAGCAGTGGTTAGCATTGTTGCCTCGCAGTTCTCCCCGTGCAGCGTGGGTTCTCTCCAGGTTCTCCGGCTTCCTTCCACAAGGTCCAAAAACATGTTGAGGTTAATTGGTGATTCTAAATTGTCTGTTGGTGTGAATGTGAGTGTGCTTGGTT